TATATGTATATACACACATGGTTTTACCGTGTCCATCTCTGTATGCTATATATGTATATCCGTATATGTATCAAAAAACAAAAAAAAAAATGTTTTTTAAAAGTATTTTATCCGAAAAACATCTAAAATTTTTAGACCAAAAGTTGTAGCCGAGTATGATGTAAGACCATTCGCAATTTTCCGATTTCCATCAAGTCGTCCCAACTCATGTTTTCCATTTGCATACTGCACTGCTTTACCGCAAGGAGTACCTTCCAAATACATAAAAGCCCACGCTTTTGCATGAAGGGAGAGATGAGAACAGAAGAGAGTATTTCTCAAATCAGATTGATGGATCAGCTATTTTCCCTCCAGGCTTGACCCACGTATGTGGCAGTCACAGCATAGTCACCTCAGTTGGCATGCTGATAAGAACAGATACTGCACATGCTGACATGGAGGCGAGTTGTCATACTCAAACTTCACACCCCGCCTTGACAGTAGCTGCCTTGAGCTTCTGTCACCATCTTTACAAACATGTCAGCCATCCACCGCAGGTCACAAATTTGACCGTCTTTTTTCTGTTCTATTGGTGGATTTACTTATTACTGTTCTATTGGTGGATTTACTTATTACTTATCTGTTACTTCACTTACACCTTTGGTGTACTTTCCTAATTCATTCCGTCATTTCGACTCACGGCCCTTCACAGGTTGTTGTTAGCGAAGTAGCCATTTCACATGCACTGATTGCCGCTTGCCACGCCCGATCACCGCAATCTCTACAGTGATATAGCCTGGTCACATAAATGACTGAAAACCTTCCAGTCGTGTGATCTCCATGGCCAGTTCCCTGGCTTCCTCCATTCGTCTTTGTAGCACAGTATGGTCATACCGCATTCTCAAAATTTGCAAGGCTCTTTGCAAACTCTCCTTCGACTCTTCCATGGTTCGCTGCACGTCCATGGTTTCAGTGTTGTGAGGGTCTGCATCTTCTGGGTTTCTTTCTCGATCACGAACCGTTGGGAATGCAGTAAAGGTAGGGCGTGCTCTGGTTCTGCTCTCTTCTGGGTTCTCTTCTGGGCCAGAACCTTCGCGCATACCATCTGTCTCATCATCATTCTCACTCTCATCATCCGTAGGATACTCGGATTCTCCGCCTTCTCCTCCATGGTGACTGTGATGCCCTCGAGGTCTTACATGTCCTTGAGGTTGTTGCATATACAGCTCATACATGTGCTCAAAGATTGCTCCGAAATTCTCATTGTCCCTCTCGGCTTCAGCAAGGCATTGAAGATGGAAATGCAAGAACAACCACTGCTCGTACCCATCCACGTCGTCGAATGGAAGGCGTAGAAGTTCCTCCATCCTTGCCACCTCGGCCAAGACATCTTCATTCTCGAAATCTCCAGCGCTGCCAGCTGCATCAAGGAAACTTTGCGCTACCCGCCGTTCTCCTCGTAATACTAAGTTCTCAGCCAGCTTCAATTAGTAATAGACTCTGTGTATGCTCACATCGTCTTCCAATCCAAAATGTCTCATTTTTGCTGCCATCATGAACATCACCGCCAAGATTTTGTGTAGATGAATCGCTTGCGCCTCGTCTTCGTTATCGGGCACCAATGGTCGTCTCGAACTTGACGATGATCTACCACCTTGTCCATGATGTCCAAAGGCACCATAGCTCCCACCATGTAGACAAACACCAGAAAGATGACGATGAACACCACGTGGAACATCCATGTAGACGAAGTCCAGGATGTAGACGTCGACGTTGACATATAGATGCAGGCTTTTCCTCGATATCCTCGGATCCTGACAGGGCAAGACTACATCCTTGCAACATGGGAAGTGCTGTGGCTTGAAGAACACGCGCGATGACATTCTGAATCTTTTTCATCTGCTTCCTCTCAAACCCCTGATCACTTTCACAAACTCCAGGCATGTAGATGCCAATCAGTGTGAATAACTCTTTTCGCCTTTCCATGGCCAACTTTCTGGTTCCTAGATCAGCTGGGTTCTGCTTCGTTCCTATCTTGCTCACTGTGAGAATCTTCTTCCGCAGCAACTCCTGTAGGAACAAATGTCGAATTTCAATATGTTTCATTCGGCCAACTCCTCTCCGTTGGATCGTTCCAATTTGCTGCAGAACTGTCTGAAAACAACCAAATGTTCACATAGTCGGTTGGGCCATCCTTCACCTCAGCAACCAAGAACTCGCACAGTCGGCCAAGAAAGATGCCTTCTGCAATCGCTGCGTTGGCGGCATATAACTCAGCCTCACATGAGCTCAAGGCTATTGTAGCCTGAGTCCTTGAGAAACTCAGGACATAGGCCCCGTTCAAGAAAATTGTTGAGGAGCTCGGAGCTTGTTGATCTTCTGCTTGAATGACAGTCTCCCCATGAAGAATCCGCGAACACATCCAGGTTGGTTGAGGATAGATCTTTTCCGTCGGTCCTCTCCAAATGGATCCATGAAGTCACCTTGTTCGACCCATCTGTCAAACACATTCTCATATATAGTTTTCACACCGTCGTAGTAAAACTGCACCTTCTTCTGTCCCAGCTAGATAGAGTGCTAGGTGACAAACTGCAGACATCGCTTCCTCACATGGTCTCGACATCGACGTAGATAGCACCGTTGTCGCAAAACCAATGTCTGGTCGATCTTGATCTATGTAGAGAATCAACCCAAGTGCTGAACGGAATGTTGCAGATTCTGCTTCTCCGAGTAGTCCTCGAAGCTGTTGATCGGCTTGATACGATTCAAGTGTAGGATGGTGAGGTAACCCTTTGAATCTGCGTTTTCCCAACTTCAGCAACTCCACAAGTTCTGGGATGTAGGCTCCATTTGGCTGAATGAGTACTCCTTCAGGTAGAAGAGAGATACGCTTCTTTAAGTAGAGCAACATCTCGCCTGATCCTTGAGCATGGGGACCATCCACCTTGATCGTCAGATCCTTGGTCACATTCTCCCTGAACCACTCGAAGTCCTTGCTTGAACTGACGATGAGCACATCATCAACATGTATGGTTAAGTAGATCCTATGGTTGTTGTTCACGAGCTTCATGATTGTTGGGCTTCCAGCGTAGGATGAGAGTCCTGCTGTCTCGCATCTGTTTTGGAAGCACTCGAACCAACGAAGTGCTCCATTTCGTTGGCCCGGCAGGCACTTTTTCAGCAACCATGCAGTCACTCTCAGGGTTCAAGTTCCGGATCCATCCTGGGATCATAACATACATCACTTCTTGTTGTGGAACCTTCAGGTCAGCGTCTTTGACGTCGACACTGCAAACATCCAAACTGAAGCACGTAGACAACACCAGTAGACATCGAATGGCTGCTGCCGCACTTGTAGGAGAGAAACTTGCCTCATCGGTCTGTTGGTTTGCCCGGAATTCTCGCGCTACAATGCGCACTCTCCTGCGCCAAACGCCTTCTCGAAAACGCCAGTCAGCTGCAGTTGTGGTATCAACCACACATTCCGGTGCCACCTCGTTGAAGTTCACTTTTACTGGTTCTATCACATCCAGGTCAAATAGTTTCTGCACTTCTTCCAGGGCTGCTACTCCATCAAGTTCTCGTAGTTTTTCTTCACTGACATTTGGAGGTCCTTCGCCCTCTGTTCTTTGGCTGATCTCATCATCCTCGAAGTGAAAGTCCTGGGGGTAAGCGTTCCACTCTTCTTCCAAGCCAAGCTCATCATTGTGACACACTTCAACGTTTGCCACCATTCTCACTTCGGTCTTGGCTGCTTTCCTCTTAGGATCCACTGCTGGGTCATCATCCATCTTCAAAGCTTTTGAACTTGTGGGTCCGCCCTGGGTCGCTGATTTGTGTTTTTCGCCCCTCATCTTATCCACCTCGAGATCCATGTCTTCTGGTGGTAGAGGAGGTAGAGGAAGTACAGAAGCTCCAAGTTCAACGGCATGTTGCCCTTGAAGTACTTGATGTTGAGCATCACCAATCATCACATCGCCGTCTGCCCTTACTCCTTCTAGTGTAACTTGTTGTCCTTCTGCAGGTCGATTCGCCAAAGGTGTAGATGGAGCATACGGTGAAGATTTTGGGCTGTGCCCGCCTGACTCGGACGGTGGTAAATTTGCAACTGCTTCTGCGTCAAGATCTCGAGGTCCTTCCAACATAGGTATAGGTGGTGGTGCTCGTAGAGGTTGGACCTTCAAAGACGAATGGGTATAGCCCGTATAGTGTTCCATGGGCCAATTTCAATTCCCATCACCTCTTCTGCGCACCACATGTGGGAAGTTCGCCGGATGGCCTTTGTTCTGGTAATGCTTTGGCTTCCCGTCCGCAAGATATCCTGATCCGCAGCGTCTTTGCCCAGCCAAACTCCCTGGCGCCAGGCTGGCTTGTATTTGCCGATTTTGGCTTTTGCATCCAACCCCAAGACTATCTGGCCAAAACAGGCTACCCTATTCTTGTAGGGCTTACCGTGGACCGCCTGGTTTGGTGAGATTTTTACTGCAGAGTGAGTGTGGAACCGATTGTAAAGCCAACTTGAATGAGCAGCCGCCCAATATCGGACCGCTTGCTTTGCTGGTAGTTGACGCTGGATCTCATGTTCCAATTGGATTACCAATGTCTTCTGCAGATTGCGGACAGTCTGAATCGCCCGCCCAGCCATACCAGTACGGCCTTTGTCATAGTGCTTGTTGGTTGAAATAGTCGTAGGGAACCCATGCTTTGATCGAATTGATCGACAGAACTCCATTCCTGCCACCAAAGTACGCTCGTTGTCGCTGCAAAGTTCGACCATGCCCACATGCCCGACCATTCCAATGAATCGGGATAACGCTTCTGATCTCCAACTGCTTTTGCTGTCTGCTTCTCCATGGGCTCCACATGTACATAGCGTGTCCAAGCATCGATCATCAAGAGGATTGAAGCTCCACCACGTTCTTCACAGAAAAAGAAATCCATTTGAACTATTGGGTGATCACGCTCGGAGGTGCTGACTGGGTCTGCTACCGAGGCATGATAGTCACCACGGCTGCGAGTGGCTACGCAATGCGGACACCAATCACGGTATGGTAGATGAGTAAGTTCGTGCAACATCCTCTCCCTGCTGCTCGGCTGTCGGCTTGCAACATGGGCTGGTTCTGCTTGATGTGCAGCTTGTAGATATTCTCTGTTGGCAATCTCCACTGCAGCTCGGCGTAGGCCTTTGACATGGGCTTCTCTAATCCTCCCAAAAAGCCTCTGCTTTCCACCAGACTGAGAGATACCAAGCCATGCGCAAGCTGTCCGAAGATCCTTGATCTTTGACTCGGCTGTAACCTCAAAATCATCGTAGATTCGAACTCATTCCAACTGGGTTTCTTCCTGAGTTTCATACTTGGGTGGTACTCCATCAGGTCCACCAACAGGTTCTTGTTGAAGTCCAGGAGGTGATTCGACATCCATCTGTTCCTCTGGGAAATAGGGCAAAACGGTTGTTCACCTTCACCTTCTCCTTCTAACAAAACACCAATACTTTCTACACCATGCTCTGTGATTCCCAACATAGTCAAAACTTCGCACTCTAGGCCTCCCATCTCAATCAAGCACTCTTCTATATAGCCAAACGGATCCTCCTTCTGTCCTTCTGCATGAACTCCTCAGAGAGCTCGACCAGGAGCCAATTTCGATCTTCTCCACCATGTACTCGAATGAGGGTTGTGCGATACTTGTAATGCCGACCCCATACAGGTCTAGGATCGACATAGTTGGACCCCATGGTTTTGTAAAATGGTGCATCAGAAGTGGTTCCACAGCTGCTAATCTCCTCATTTTGGACCTCATCATAGATTGCGACCACTGCTCGAACTTCCAAGGCATCGTCCAATTCTTGCCCCGCCTCATGCAACTGCTCGAACATGTGCTCGAATTGCAAATGACTTGTTGCGGAAATGCACGGGAATATTCACCTCGTCATTGGGATCTGTCAGGACAAGTTCATCACCATCACCACAGATCTTCCATCCAGCTTGATAGAGTTGACCCAAGGACACTAGTCCGGTCGTGACATCGCCGATGAGAAATTGATGCCGTAGAAGAATTTCTTCACCCTCGGTGCTCCTTACTTCAAGATCTGCATTCCTGGTGCCACGCGTTCGAAGTGCTCCACCTTGGCAGTTCCTCAAGCTGTGATTGCTTTGCGTCCCATGGTCTGCTGAGAAGCGGGACGGCAACAGACTCACATCTGAACCACTGTCCAAAATGATCCACTCTTCTCCATCCTGAGTCTCTACTCGCTGGGTTACTAGCTCCATGTTTTCAAATTCTTCAGGCACTTCCTCAAGCAAAACCATTCTCACATGCTTTTGAGAACCAGAAGAAATAGGAGATGTAGGAGAGGAAGGCGACGAAGGGTTGATATGGAAAATACGGCGGACGATTCCTTTAGTAGATGCTTGTGGTTGGACAGGAGGTTGTTGGACATAGGTAGTAGAGGAAGAGGCTGTTCCAGTGTGTTGTCCCGCAGGGTTCATAGTCGCCTCAAATCCATTTGAGTTCTGCTGCTCCTGCGCTACATAGTTCACATCCATTTTGTTTGGACATTCGCCACTCCAGTGGCCACATGCAAAGCACAGCTTGCACTGGTTTTGTCCAACCTTTCCTTTGTCTTTGGTCTTGCCTCCTCCCTTCTTACCTTTCTGCTTTCCTTTGCCTTTGTTGGCATTTCCACGGCCTTTGCCTTTCTTGCCTTTTCCTTGTCCGCGTCCACGGCCTCCAAAACCACGGCCTGCTCCCCAAGGAAAACTCCAGTCACCTTTGCCACCTTTGCCATTCTTGCCACTCTTGCCACTTTTGCATTTCTTGCCTCCTCCCTTCTCAATTCTATCCACTTCCATTGGAGTTGGACCACTATCACTGGTTCGATGTGCATCTTGTATTGAGCGCAGCACAGTCTCTTGAGACCACGCTTTTGAAACTCTCTCGAAGTTCAGGATGCATTCTCGGACTTGAGAATATGAAGACTTTTCGTCCACATTGAGCTGAAGGTGTTCTCTCACGCGCTGATTGCAGCAACGCATAAGAGTCGCTATCTTCAGCACATCAGGATAGCTACTGCTTGAACTCTCCTCAAACCTCTGGACGGTCTCCTCGTAGACGAGTATCGATTCTAAGCAACTCCTGTCCTTCGGGAACGTAGGGTAGTTTGAAAGTGCCTGCGCTATTGCTAGCGCACGTTGGCGACTGCTTGGTTCAAATTCTTTGATAAGATGATACCAGACAGCAAACCCATCTCTGGACTGCGCCATTGACTTGCACAGATGTCCGCAACGGCCTTTCAAATAACTCGTGAGTACTGCATAAAGTCGGTGGGCTAGCTCTCGTTCTTCTGGAGAATATGTGGCAATATCTGGGGATGTGGTCAAAGCCTCAATCTTCTTTAACATTGCCACATATTTGCTTTCTCCGTAGGTCAACCAACTTGTGAACTGAAATCTCCAGGATGGAAAGTTGAGAGCATCTTCCCCACTGAAATTTTCACGGCTTTTGAGCACTTTTGAAGCATGTGAAAGGCCATCACCACTAGTGGATGATGCTGCAGGGGCTCGTCCAGCAACTTGCTGCTCGAGTTGCAGCTTCAGCTAGAGCTGCTACTCTTTCCAACATCGCTTGCTGCTGTTCCATCGCGCTACTATGAAAAACACTGCACATGAAGATCAATGCCACCAATTTGCGCTTGTTTCCAACCCTAATCTTCCTTTCTTTTCTCTTGTCACATCTGTTTGATCTCGTTGTTTGGAATGCACTGCAAATGTTTCTGTTCGAAATAGCCAGAAACCAAATGATGCAAACTGACATCACCGACATCAGACTGCACTCCACTACCCGGCCTTCAGTGACACGCCAAAGCACTGCTGCCATCCAGAAAACCATTCGTAGTCCTGAGCAGACATAGGTCCTTGTAGGCGAAACACACCAACGCAGCAATGCTATCGTCATAGGGATGCCAAATCCAGACACCACCATCGCCAGAACTGCCAGTAGTGCTCCTGATTGGCCACAAAGTAGACCAAGAAATGCCCTGACCACATAGTCCAGAACGTCCAGGGTGAAGGCCACCAGCCATAATAGGATGTTGGTGGCATACTTCTCCAAGCACTGCTCAATAGGCTCAAGGTCATAGTCAAAGACGTTGACAAAGAAGCCGCACTTCTCCTCCGCGATGCGCTCGAGGATGTCCACATAGTCCTGGTTGTAGTTCACAACATAGTCGAAGTTCTGGTCGTAGGCCTCGATGAAGTCAATGTCCAGGAAGTAGGTCATGTCGTAGTGGATGTCCAAGTCGATGCTGATGTCCAGGATGTCATCGAAGTACAGGGAATTGTGACAAGTCCACCTGGGGTTCGTCTGATCCACCTGATCCATCACCATTGCATACATGTTCTGTTGCGCCATGCATGCACTTTCTAAGACTCCATTGGGCTCAAACTCCAAGGCCTTGACACTCACGTCAAGTGCTAGACTGGTTCCTTTTCTCAGGACTGCAGCGCTACCTAAAACACCGCAATCACGTACTTGTTGATGCGCATCCAAACGGTACATGTCACAACCAGTCGTTTCACACCACATGGCACATTTGCTAGCTTCTCCTTTCTCAGCTGAGATCTCATCCTAGTTCATGAAGCTGCCACCTGGAAACCAGGTATCGAATTTCACCAAGTGCTGTTCAGCCACAGGTTCCGCAGACATGGTCCATACGACTAGGCCTGTCACCCCATGTTCAAAGGTCACAGCACTGGCTGCACCGTTCACCAAGGCCAGCGCACACAACATCACCAAACGCAGCTCCATTGCCATGGGTTCTGCGCTAGACGAATTGGAGTAGTTTTCAACTAGCAATACTAGGCACTCACAAGGCTCCGCGCTACCATCTCAAATCAGATGGATCAGCTATTTTCCCTCCAGGCTTGAGCCACGTATTTGTGGCAGTCACAGCATAGTCACCTCAGTTGGCATGCTGATAAGAACAGATACTGCACATGCTGACATGGAGGCGAGTTGTCATACTCAAACTTCACAGTATTGGAGCTAAAATCAAGGTCGCAAAAGGCATTTTTTTGCAACTTTTGCTTGAGAAAACAAGCGCCTCAGATATGAACAGATACTACACCTGCTATGTCACATGGCTGAGTGCTCCACAACGCAAATTGAATGTACTGCTGATAGCGTTAACATGAAGCACCCCGCCTTGCTGTTTACTTTAGTTCAACAGCACAGAGTTGAAATGGTAAATCCCTAAGGAAAATTCTGAATTCTAAGGATATTGACGCAGGGACGCAATTTGTAGCGTGCCTCTACATGTCTGACTTCTTAGAAGTCTTTCCCAGATTCACCTTTTTGGAACTGATGTGCTATCTACGTAGCGTCCATGTCATCCTCAGTCTCTGACTCATCATCTGAAGTTCCATGATGTATGGCCATCCAAGCCTCAGGGTCGCTGACTTCGCACAATTCCGATTGGCAGTAGCGTTGAAATTTCTGAGACTCGGTTTCCATCATCTCGTCTGAATCTTCTCCTTCACTCTCGGCACTTTCATCTCTCGGGGGATTGTCAATGTCTTCCATCAAAGCACGTGCAATTGAATCCACATGAGAACTGCCTGAAGTTGTGGCTTCAGCTCCTTCACTCGCTACAGCATCTGCAAGTCTTTGACCCACCTCCACTGCATGTACGACTTCATCCATGGTGTTGCACAACTGAATCCAGCTTTGGCCATAGTTTGGAGAGTCCTCATCACTTGAAAGGTCTGTCATTTTCCTGGCCATGACAGCTGCTGACAGTCTAGTTGACTGGTTTCCAGACTTGCACGCATTCATCACGTTGCAAAGCAATTGAAGTCGCTCCTCATACAACTGCTGTCGTTCCAACGTAACTGCTGTAGATCTTCTGCGCAAACACCTTGAATAAATGAAAGTCAACATTGCCTCAGGGCTCCATGCAGCATGAGGTTCAGGTAGGTCGTTTTCATCTCTCAACACAGGCATCTCAATTGGATCTGCACCAGCCAAGCCGCTGGGAATGCTCGTGCTCGAGCTAGCCACATTGCTTGCAGGAAACTCGCTATTGGCAGCGATGATTGCAGCACCAATGTGGGACATTCTGATTGACCCATCTTCGTCATTTTCGATCTCGTTTGTTGTAGGCTCATCCAAAACAGCATCCTCTGGAAGATTTTCTGAAACCCTTGCAAACCAACTGAAAAACCAAATCATTCCAACTCCAACGCACAAGGTGAAAAGCAAAATGAAGAGGTTACAGCCATCTTCCAAAGTTGAATCACATCCTTGTAAATGAAGTTGGATCAGGCTCAAGGCGCCAGCAAGGTCCAAACATCCATTTGATCTCTTGTACAAACCAAGCAAACTCATCAAAGATCTCATTCTCGGGGCAGCTAAACGTTTTGTTCCAATGCCAGCGGTCAGCGGGATTCGAATGGCCGCTGATGCTGCATAACTTCAGCATTCCATTTCCAACCATGTCCTGCAACCACAAGATGCAGCAACTCAAGTGCCTCAAACGTCCAACTCCCCTTCGATTCAAGATTCCTTTGGCACCACTGCTATCAGTGTAGATGTAGATATGGGTTCTTTTGTTGGTGATCCATGTCAGCGACCTGGCAAGTAGGATGGCGTCACTGGCTCCACTGCTGCAAGCGTAAACTTCGGCTTCAGCTGATGACAACGAAATTATCTTCTGAGTCCTTGATGCTGAATATATCAAGCACCTTCCAAACATCACAATGCAACAGCTTACAGACCTTCTGCTGACACGGTCTGAGGCCCAATCAGAGTCAGTGAACACCTCCAAAACGTGTTCATTTGGATCCACGTTCGGGTAGTCATGGAAAATGTCAGTTGCTTGACCACCCCATTTCAAGGACACGCAAACGTCCATGTGACTGCAAAGATATCCCACCAGATGTCGATGCACTGTCAAACTCTTTTCAGTGGGCTTTGAACGTAGGTGGCCAAATGTCGAATGACGTGTTGAGATTGTGGAACATCATTCGCCAGATACATCAAAACACCAACACATGTCCTAAAAGTCGTGGCTGGTGAAGATGAAAGATCTGCTGTGTCATCTTCCTTTTCAATATCAGCATGTGCAGGGCTTTTCTTATTCTGGTTTCGAACATTCAACCCAAGCAAACTGCAAAGCTGGGTGATGTGCTTCTCATGCGTTTGATTGTCAACCTTCCATCATCATGAAGTGTATACTGTCGTTTCAAAAATGTCAGCTCATCACCTGGCTTCTCGATGCATTGAACTGAAATATCATATGCAGCTTTGAGCTCCGGCAGGAACTTGCCCAACACATAGTCACGCTTTCCAACCACAAGCAAATCGTCAACATGTATCATCACCACGCAAGATCCATCCTTTGAACGAAGAATGCATGGATATGGGGTGTGCTCCTCCAAGCCAAGCTTTGATTTGAGGAAGCTGGTGATTGCACGATACCACAGCAAGCTTCCATCACGTTGTCCAGGCAGCACCTTCCCCAAAAAAAAATGGGAGTTGTTCCACTTGCATCGTTGTATGGAGTCTGCCTCACTGCGTTTGTGAGAGTCTGCAACTACGCCTCAAGAGGATCCTCACGATCAGACCATTCTTGTCGCAGCTGAACCCTGTGTGGGTTGGTTCCAAGAGGAGATCACATGAACTGTTTTTTTGCGAAGCACCGACTCAGAATCCGATGATGATGTTGAATCCGCTGAAGCCTCACCTCAGATTGATCATCATCTGCAAGCGCTGTCTCAATTGACGTAGCGAGCTTCACGAATCAACGTTGATTGGAGCTGTAGTTGAGGGTGTACGTCGTCCCTGCTGTACAAACGAACTGATGCATTGATGGGTTTGTTGTGCCTCTGTTGTCTGCGCATTTCTTCTGTAATCGAGAGGAACTGTGAGCAGAGCACCAGAACAGAAGCGTTGCTTTCAAGCCGTGGATGGTGTAATTTTGCACTTCAAAGGCAAATGGGTTCTGTTTCCAGGGGTCGGAATGACCATCCGCAGATAATAAAGAGCATCTGCATAGCGCATGGGTTCGAGATTCTTTTTCCGTCCAACGCCTCATAGCTTTCGCCAGGTCGTTCATCATGCCGGTAGCTAGGCTGACAAATTCAATTAATTAATCCAAAGACGTCATCCATGGTGGGCTTCAAAAGTAGAACTGAAGTAGGACCAGTACAAAGTCCTGTTGCTGTCATAGCGCATGGGTTCGAGAGGTTGGACAAGCTGAAGTTTGTGCCACTCCCAGTAATCCTTGGGACGATGCACAGCCAAAAGCTTGGCCTTTCGTGGTTTGGTCCTCCACGCAATGCCTCGAAGTGTTTCAAAATCAAAAATCACGTTGATGGGGCTGACCCGTTGCATGTCTACCCAGGACCGGTCCAAGCTTGAAGGAGGAATGAGTCCAGGATGATGATCAGCAATTGATTCATCATTCGCTTTCGTTCCCATGCAGAAAACAATGCAGCGGCAGTAGAAGGCTCTCCCTGATGTCTCTGGAGATTTCATCGGACAGGAATTTGGAGTCCATCAAAGACACACTGAAAGCAATCGACACCAAGTTGTTTGACACTCCAACGCGGCAATGGTGGTACTGTTCACAAAATGCCATCTGAAGATCGTGCCATCTGAACAGCTGTCAAAGAAAGGTGAAGACTGTGACACGCCTCCACGAAATTATTGGTGATGGTCGGGATGTACAGTATTTGGATAAAGTGGTGGCTGCAAAATTGTCTGAATGCGAGCTACTGAGCTCGATGGATCGAGTGCTCGATGTCGCATCAAATCCTTGGCCTGTATATCGGAAGTGCCAGTCGATTAGCTGCTTCTTGTCTGTGTTTTTTCTGTAGGCATCGTGACAGCAACAGGACTTTGTACTGGTCCTACCTCAGTTCACTTTTGAAGTCCGCCATCGTGATGATGGATGACGTTTTTGCATTAATCAATCGAATTTGTCAATTCGCAACTGTCTTACAGGCATGATGAACGACCTGGCGAGAGCTATGAGGCGTTGGACGGAGAAAAAAAACATGCATTTCTAGATCCATGGGTACAAAATACCACAGGCTTGCGTTCTTTTTTATCCTTCTCTCACCATGTCTAACGACTCCTGGTTTTTTTTGTCCGAGTCACGTTGCCTTTCGGCGGGTCTACGGTCTTGAGTCTCACCCGCGGACCAGCGGGGAGTCGAACCACCACCGGCACTCTTTCAGCGACGCAAGACTCCCGCGACACCAACTGCACCACGAGGACGACTATGTCTGACGACCCCGTGGGGACGGCCTTCAAGGTGTTTTGAGCGAATGTGGTGTTTCTCCACCCTTAACATCAAGCTTGATAATGGCGGGTTGGACAACCGAAACGTGTGCAGTTTGCAGTGTGCTTAAACTCACTGGCAGGTTTTGATGCATTTGGACAGAACTTTTACCTGACCATCCAAATGTGACACTTTTGGACAAGTCATCCACCAGAGCAGCCTCCCGCCGCTTGCAGCAAACACCCACGCCTGCGGCTCAGCAGCCCACTCAGAGGGTACCTGGAATGAATTGCATGCTCCAAAACTCACTGCAGCTGTCCTTGCTGATTTGAAAAGGGCATTTTTCCGTGACTTTCCATCAGAAGTGCTGAGCCCAGACACGTGCCCCTCTTCGAGATTGATAGCTTTGACTCACTCTCAGGTTCAGAAGCAGGACATACATTGGGTGCCATGGAAGTATAGAATGTCGCAACAACGAATGGAAGACATTCAGATGGCTCGTCCCCCCAAATTAGCTAAGACCGATTCT